TTTTTGACGACAAATTGGTTGACGACGACGAAATCAGAAATTTTTATAGTAAAGATGTTGTGTTCCACAACAATGCCGAGTAAACAAATATCTGTTGACATTGTTGATGACGTCATTTTTTGACGACAAATTGGTTGACGACGACGAAATCAGAAATTTTTATAGTAGAGAGAAGAGAGAATACACCAAACTGCATGCTTCAAAGACACGGAATAATTTCACCCCATCCTTTCCGCGCGGCTTTAAGTCACCAGTACAGCGTTGTTAGCTTTTCTACACTGCGAGTTTTGAGCTGTCTTCACTCGTCTGGGCTCCGCTGTTCACATTAAAAAGTTGTAGAAATTTGCAAAGTTGTATACAATTTATGGGCAGACACATGGACAGACAGACATGCACACAATTTTACACATTCATTCACAGGCCTCACACATTGGTTCCCAAAACTGCCACCGTGAAGTCAAATTGAATGAACACCTCGTATAGGCATGCAACAGTTGTTAAATGTCACACCTGAAATAAAAAGTCTTTATCACACTAAATTTCGTAAAGAGACTCTTTTTATTTATTTCCATTTATCTTTTGTCCGTGATACAATTTAATAGCAATTGTATCATTGTTAGTAATATTATAATTACCATTTGTTGAGTTACGCACATCATAATATAAAGTGACGTATTTTCCGCTAGTTATATTGTTCCTTGTTCATACGGTGACATAAAAGTAAGATTTTCATTGTATTCCTCGAGGAACACCACGGCGTCCAAGTACTCCACGTACTGAAACGAGAGACGAGACAAGACGAGACGAGATGAAACGCAAAGAATCGCAACCAATATACAGCTGTGGGAAATGCTGTCGCCTGCTCCGTTGTGCTCTAATAAAATGGACTGTCCAGAACTACGAGCAAATGACACACCGAATTATTTCACTACGCTTATCCTGGTGCGTCGGACCACAACACTGAATTTCCATTTCGTCTGAATTTTTCTTCTTCCTTCAGCTGTTTGTAGATCACTTCCGCTTCCTTGTTGCATCAGGATCGCTATTCTTCCGCGTCTGTCTACTGCGACTTCAACCACAACGGAGCACTGTCCTTTAAGATTCACTTAGCTAGTCGTTAAGTTCCCTCCATTAATGGTTCCCAAAGGTTCATACCATATTCTTAAAAGCTCATCAGTAGTTCATATTCATCACACTGATGATAAAGTCAGCAAGCACCTCTAAAACGTCGGTAAACTTCTACCAGACTACACCTAGCAACTCAGAAGACAGCCATCTTCAGACTCGCCGCATGAAAACTTGAAATCTCACAATAAACTGTCCGGCTGTTACGTAACCACTATAGTTCGGGTCGTTTAAGAAAATGATTCCTTTAAGACATCCTTCATCTGCAGCATACACACAGATTACTTGTTGCTTTCTAAAGGTATCTTGTAATAACTATCAATTTTTTTCAGCAATTTGTCCATAAAGTGTTAATCAAGTTTCTTTTCCATTTTTAGTTTCTTTGCATTGCTACAACTTACTTTGGTCTTGTCTTTGTCGTACTCCACTGCAAGCTAAATCAGCATACATTTATCAGAATCTAGCTGTCCTCGTCTCCAAACTTCTGGAATTACTGCTGCATTTATAAAGGATTTCTTTCTCGTAATTCTTGAGTTACTGCCAATAGTTACATTTAGCAATGTCATATTTCATTCCTCTTTTATACTAAAATTCCTACTCCTCTTTTAAACCGTGACCGTCCGGTCTAATGTTTGCAGCTTACAAGCAAATTATAAT